GAAGACAAACAGTGCATACATTGCACATTGTGTAATATTTGGAAATATAGTTTGTTGAAAGTACTTGGGCTCTCATTAATACTAGTGAATAATTATATACAGTCCACATTGGTAACGAGTTAAAACCCCAACACTGTCTTTTGAAATTATTTTCGGAATTATATCTGTATGTTTCAAACAGTAATGGAGTTTATTTTCACTCATCTACGATATTACTCGAAACTCAACTAGAAATATACTGGCATTCTTCCCTGATTCACTAATGAAGATCATCAATATCAGCAAGTTGTTTATTATAGGCATGTAGATCAAGTCGAATGTTTTACATCCATCGAACTGAAAGAATATTTGAAGCACGCATAAAGGAATACAGACACAGTTTTCAGAATGGAAAAATGATTTCCACATATGCTACACCTCCTCGTAGAGATACTCCAATTCAATCACGAATGTATGGAAATTAATAAATTCAATTATTATCAATATTGAATGAACTATCGAATATATTTGTTTAATTCTCCCCAAAGGAATTTGTTCCCATCTCGTTATCATACTCAGCTCTCCTACTTGTAATATTGTGATATTGTAATATTTGTAATGTAGCTATCACTCATGAAAGTCAAAGTTTCCAAGAAACTAACAATAAAAGAATGTGGCCTTAATGCACTTTCGTGAGAACTAGTAATATGATTTATAATTTTTTAGGTGAAAAATGGCGAAAAATGCGATCTATCCTCAGCCCATCGTTCACCAGTAGCAAAATGCGAATAATGTTTGTTTTAATTTCGAAATGCACTGAGAATTTTGTGAATCATTTTCTCAAGAAAGATGAAAAATGTATAGAAGTAGAAATGAAAGACACATTTACCCGTTTTACTAACGATGTTATAGCTACCTCTGCCTTTGGTGTGGAAGTCGATTCACTTGAAGAACCAAATAATGAATTTTATTCGAAGGGAAAGAAATCCACCACTTTCGAAGGAGTCTCAAAACTGTTCATGTTCATAAGATATCCATTGGTTTATATATATATATATATATCCATTGGTTCCTAAACTTATTGAGGTAAATAAAAATGCAGTTCTCAACCATCTTCCCGAATAGGAAAACTGAATCAATTCTATTCTATGATGTAATGGCTCAATGATATTCCAAATAGGAACTCCAAATTAAGCCCTACGAAAACATACGAGCATTATTCATTGTGAGGCAAGTGTATCAAATCTATTTCTGTGTTGAATGGAACTACCTTGAATTCGTTTTATGGGTATATTCCACACATATTGATGTTATATCTAACAACAAATAACATTCATCTATTCCTATCGATCAAAAAAATGTATACGTTAATAATATCTATATCATAGAACGACTATTCAAAAACCCTCCCACTGGTATGAGATTATCCACATATTTTCCCTCATAATTTTTTATAACTTGTTGAACATATTTTCTCATAAAATTTTTCATAACTGGTTGAACAATGATTCAAACACAGAACCCATTCTAAAAAAATGCTGATTCACAAAGAATAAATATATCATTCTGCAATAACGTTACAGTTGAATTATATTTTTTTAAAGATTGACCATTGAACAATTTCAATCCTGTCGATTATAGAAAGTTGTTCCGAAGAAAGTGAGTTTGTTATCAAGTACAGTTCCAAGAAAAAACAACTATAAAAGGGTATTTATAGAAAGTTCTCAGAAACTTTCAGAAAGGAAGATGTTTAATTAACTGGATTTTTTCAGCAGTGATAACAAAACAATAGTGAGATTATTTCGCTACAGGAAGACAATTCGTACGCCATAACTAGGTCAACTGTAACTTCATACAGTTATAAATTCAAGTTAGACAAGCAGGAAGTCATCAAATGGATGTTCGAGAATGATGATCTGGCGATTGTGTTTAAAAATACACAGGAACGATGAGAAACGTTTTTAGAAAGATTATGAATATTTCAAAAACTGATAAATATTTTTTTCTGAAGAGTGTTCACTTCGGCACTTTCTGAACAACAAGGTTAACAACTTTATTCTTTGCGGTGAATAGAAAAACAACTAGATATAAATATTGTGGACTGATTTTTGAATTTGGAAACGGCGATCCCCCAATATTGAGTTTACATATATGGAATTGGAAACAATCAGAGCTACCATTCCTGAATGTACCACTTATAAAAAAACGCTGATAAGGGTTTAGAAATTGATGTTCATAGAAAAAATATCCGACAGCTCGCACCATTTTCTTCAACATATCGTGGAGTGACTATATTTTCTTGCCAATACATTGCTTGTTAGCTTGTTACGTTAAACATAATACGATATCCAAAATGAAAGTTATCAGAGACATAGGTAAAAACAATGCAAAAGCAAAATATTCCAAAAATATGGTTGTTGCTTCATAACAAAATACCCCATTGAATTAGTCTGGATATGTGAAAAATTATACATACAATACAATACAATACGATGAAATAGTCCGACAGCGAAATGTCTTTATCGAATTCATCTCGATATTGCTTGTAAAGTAATTGTTTTTTGGTTCAAGACCTGATATTTGTAAGAGATTGTGGAGAACATGATTTGAATAAAAATCGGGGTGTAGATGGAGAATTCCACAAGAAGTACGAGAAATACAGATTATATCCAGAAAAATGTTTTGAGTATACCAGAATGAGTATTGAAACCTTCGATTATATTCTTATAAATATTCAACCAGAACTGTAGAATAAACTTAATGCAAATAGAATTTCAAGTGCCGCTGAAATATTGTTTTTGACATTAAGGTATGTAATTACCTATCTATACATATCCATCTATATTAATCTACATTACGTATTCATTTATATGCCTATGTATAGAGGTAATATTTAATTAGCTGATTATATTTTGGAGAATTACCTATGATATCCAACAGTATAAACAACTTTTCCCAAGAAAGCAATGGTCGCAAACGGACTTTTTTATAACTAAATTTATTTGGAACTATCTTTGCCAAAAATATTATCAGCTAATTAAATGTTACCCTGTATATTGATATTTCATGAAATAGAAACACTTTCAGATAACTATTTTATTTATTGCAAAAATCTAAATTAAATGACAGTAATTTTTCGTACAACTAAAGCAAAAACAACTTCTAACCTGTAATTGACGGTAGACCGAATAATGAATTTCTAACTTTTTAATCAGTCTTCCAAATAGATGGTCCAGCTAGTATTTCAGCAATAAAAGCCTCGTTTTATCACTGCACTATTCGCCGCGACTGCCGCTCGACTCCGTGGCTCGCGCCGTACTGATTCATGTATTTGTTTTACTCGCCCGTCGCGCCGCAAGTTGCCCACGCGGTTCGCTTGGTACATTTCGCCGGTCGCTTCGCCGGTCGCCGTTGCGCGTGGCTTCATAATTATATTGCTATGCGTTTGTTTCAGTCGTCGGTCGCCGTTCGCACCGCGCGAATATTCGCATCGGCGAGTGACCCGTGGCCAGGCTGTAACTTACTGTCCTTCCATAGACACGACCGGCCCATGGATGGGTAGAAGGGATTTGTTACAGTCTCCCCCCTTGGTCTCGAACTCGCCTCGAGGATGGACCAGTTCTATTAGCTGGTTTCTTCTTCTTCGAGGGTCACCTCCTTTTTCTCAAACCAAGTGTAGGTTTCTCAACTTCACTGGCTTTTCATGAGTGAGAAATGAGATATAGTAACCTCCTAACGGTGTTGTTTGGTTATTAGGGTGGGCAACCTCATAACTGACTGCGGATACCTGCCATCTCTTTTCGAATGAAACTTTGCAGTGAGTCTTTTCGCAGCATTGCTAAGCGCGTGTGTCTGCACCCACACTAGGTCACCAATCTTGTAAGGATCCACATCATTTCTCCTGGCATCCGCATAGACCTTTCGACAGTCTTGGGCTTTTTCATTTAACGCTTTGATCTCTTGCCAAATGGTTGAAATTTTCTTTAGATAAGGAGTTATCTGGGGAAGGAAATTCTTGGTATCCGTAACGACCCTGAAATCATGTTTCACGTCATCGGAAGTTCGTAACTCGCACCCAAATGGTAAGTAGGCAGCAGTCTTCCTTATAGTTTCACACCATACGGAGTTCATGGCAAATCTGGTCGTTGCAAGCTTTTCAGGCCATGATCGATAATCGCTCCCCACCAGGATAGTGAGTCGTGGTTAAAGATCACGATTTTTTCTCTCGACCATGTTAGCTGATGGGTGATAAAGAGGGGTAAATGTTTCCTTGATATCCAAGGTATAGCATACCTGCTGCATAACAGTGGATACAAACTGTACGCCATTGTCGCTGATGATTTTACGAAAAAGTCCATAGCGGAAAAATATTTCGTTAACTGCAAGGCAAATAACTCGACCCACTTCGTAGAAATGTCTTCAACAATGAATATCCACCTTTTGCCACTCGGCACTCAATGCCACTCAAGGCATTTACTTACATAGGCGCATCCCTATGACGTAATATCTCTTCGCAATGCGTTGGAGAGTACGCAAAGCACCATGACAAGCGGCTTCTGGTGCGTCATGATATCCATTTAGAATTCTGGCTCTTTCATGAATAGGCACTACCAATTGTGCTTCTTGTTCATCTTCTTCTGGGGAGTAGTGGTACAGTACTCCCTGGGACAGAATATAACCTCGATCTGTCCACTTGACAAATTCTGTATCTGAAGGATCTTCGAAACTTTTGATTATTTTTGCCAGTTCAGGATCTTTCAAGTGTTCGTTTCTTATCTCATTTGCCAATTCGATAATAACCTCGCACAACTCGCAAGCCACTTGTTCTTCATGGTCGCAAGAAGGACGAGACAAAGTATCGACAACAACATTCCGTTTTTCTGGTAAGTACTCTATCTTGATATGAATCAGTAAAGCCCGTCGTGCTAACCTACCAGTAAGGGATTTCAAACTGAGTAACCGTCGTAGTGGTTGGTGGTTGGTTAGCACGACTATCGGGGAGCCTTAAACATAGCCCCTGCATTTTCCCAGGGCTCACACCACAGCTAAGGATTCCTTCTCTGACGTGAAGTAGTTTCGTTCTGCGGCATTCAGTAAACGGCTCGCGTACTCTACAGGATGCTCATCTTCTCCTTCACTTTTCAAATGACGTTTGGCATTCGGGAGTCCACCGCTACACTGCCTTTTTTTTCGTTGAGTCGTTGAGCGGGCGAGATACTTCTGCGAAGTTTCCTACAAATCGCCTATACCAGCTAGCAGTTTGAAGAAATGATTGCACTTCTTTGACGTTACGTGGTTGTAATTCGAAGTATCCGAAGTAATGTAATGTTCAGTGTATTTTACCTTGGCACTCGCATTTCTTACGGTTGGCGTGGAATTTGAATAATTCAAATCTATCAAACACGAGCTTCAACTCTTGTAGGTGTTCTTCAAACGTTCATCCAAATAACTGAGAATCACGACACTTCCGAGACCATGTCGAAATTGGTCCATTGATCGTTGAAATGTTCCGGGAGCTCCTTTCAATCCGAACGACATAAAAAGGTAACGATCTGTCTCTGAGGGCGTAACAAAAGCAGTCTTATCTTTGTCACGTTTGTTAACTCTTACTTGATGATAACCCGATCGTAAATCAATGATGCCCATGTATAATGTTCCTTTGGCTGCATGGAGTAAATCGTCCATTCGCGGAAGTGGATACGAGTCACTTGTTGTTATGGCATTCAACTGTTGATAGTCCACGCATAGTCGAATTCCACCATCTTTCTTAGGAACGAGTACGATCGGTGCGGCCCACGGACTTTCGCACTCTTCTATTATGCCTTCAGCTAACAGTCGATCGGTTTTCAATAATGACTTCTCAGCTGGGAACATTATATATGGAGGTAAGGCAATCGAAGGGTGATCGCCAGTGTTGATGTGGTGCTGTGCATAGACAGTCGGTTCTCTACCCAGACTGACTATATTCAGAAAGAGTTCGAGTCGAGAACGTTTATCATCTGTAAGCATGGTGCCTTCGGAAGTCGAGTAGGAAGCGAGATCGGAAGAATTGGTGGCAGATTCAAACATCAATTCGTAGCTTCATCTTCTCCTTCACTTTTCAAATGACGTTTGGCATTCGGGAGTCCACCGCTACACTGCCTTTTTTTTCGTTGAGTCGTTGAGCGGGCGAGATACTTCTGCGAAGTTTCCTACAAATCGCCTATACCAGCTAGCAGTTTGAAGAAAGGATTGCACTTCTTTGACGTTACGTGGTTGTAATTCGAAGTATCCGAAGTAATGTAATGTTCAGTGTATTTTACCTTGGCACTCGCATTTCTTACGGTTGGCGTGGAATTTGAATAATTCAAATCTATCAAACACGAGCTTCAACTCTTGTAGGTGTTCTTCAAACGTTCATCCAAATAACTGAGAATCACGACACTTCCGAGACCATGTCGAAATTGGTCCATTGATCGTTGAAATGTTCCGGGAGCTCCTTTCAATCCGAACGACATAAAAAGGTAACGATCTGTCTCTGAGGGCGTAACAAAAGCAGTCTTATCTTTGTCACGTTTGTTAACTCTTACTTGATGATAACCCGATCGTAAATCAATGATGCCCATGTATAATGTTCCTTTGGCTGCATGGAGTAAATCGTCCATTCGCGGAAGTGGATACGAGTCACTTGTTGTTATGGCATTCAACTGTTGATAGTCCACGCATAGTCGAATTCCACCATCTTTCTTAGGAACGAGTACGATCGGTGCGGCCCACGGACTTTCGCACTCTTCTATTATGCCTTCAGCTAACAGTCGATCGGTTTTCAATAATGACTTCTCAGCTGGGAACATTATATATGGAGGTAAGGCAATCGAAGGGTGATCGCCAGTGTTGATGTGGTGCTGTGCATAGACAGTCGGTTCTCTACCCAGACTGACTATATTCAGAAAGAGTTCGAGTCGAGAACGTTTATCATCTGTAAGCATGGTGCCTTCGGAAGTCGAGTAGGAAGCGAGATCGGAAGAATTGGTGGCAGATTCAAACATCAATTCGTAGCAAACCGATTGGTTTTCTCAGAAGTACCACTTCTTATTATGAGCGTCTAGGATAAGTTTCGCATCCTGTATGAAATCTATGCCAAAGAGAGTTTTATTAGGCGCATCTGGGAAGATGATAAATTTGATAGGTATAGTCATGCCTTTGACTTTCACGTCAACACAGGTTACAAGGACATTCTCCATTTCACCTTAACCATCAGCAAACTTCACCAAAATATTTTCTTCAGAAAATGTTTGGCCTTCACGTTCCAAAATATCATATAATGCCTCACTAGCAACACTCTGTTTTGCCGCTATGTCTATGAGACCTTGACCGTGATGTCCTAAAATGTCTACATGAATAATAATTGGTTTGGAACGAGGGGCAATGAGCGTGTTGATGCTGTAAAATTCCATTGAGAACGTACAATATTATTACATGGAGGGCAATAAGTACGAATAAATCCTATCACACAGCATCCATAGCATGATAATGGGGAACTGATATTACTCCGAGAAATACTATCTGATGTTGATTTAAACAAACTAAATCGAGCGGTGTTCGAATCACGGGTATTATTCTGCTCGCGCGCAGATATTTTAGATTTTCCGTTGTCCTGAGAATTTCTGTTTGAAAGTTTCCTACATTCGTCTTTTGTGTGGCGTATGTTTTTACAGTATTGGCAACGAACGATAAATCTTGACTTTGTCAAAAGTTCACTAAAAGTTTTTATTTTATCACGTGGAACTTTCTCTTTAATTCTACGATTCAATGACCCATAAACCATATCCAATTGAACCTCTTTTGTAAGAGTTCCAGAAGGAAGCTGTGCTAGTATTGAATGCAGTTTACAAATAAAAATATATGTAGAAGTATTTAGGTCTTGCTCGGTTGCGAATAGTTCACGATAGACTCTATGGTGAAAGGGATTTGTTACACAACCTCATTTGCTGGAATTCCTATAGAATGTTATACATTCAACAAAAATTTGATGCAACCCAGAACATGTGAAAGCAAAAATGTTCTTTGCTGGTATCAGTTTCAATACAGAATATTGTTGCAGTGTTCCGAATTTATCTTCAACATATCATACCAATATTTCAGGGTTTTTTACAAAGAAGTTTAGTGCAAAGCCTCCAATGAAATAGCTTCAAATCTCAGTTAACTGTGTTATCTGAATGGATTCGATTTTCATTTGGGAATGAAAGTACTGTGAAACTTTCATATTCCGTATATCCACATAGTGATTCGACTGAACAAATAGTTGACTAATAACCAGTGTGAAATTCGACCCAAAATCGATCCTTGATGAATGCCCTAATGATTTTCATATTCATGTCCCAAACTGAAATTTGTTACAGTATCTGCAGATACCATTCATGGATCCAGTAGTTTACAGATTCTTTTGCGATCTGGTTGATAATACCATAGAAGTCCGGGAAAAAAATAATATAATACGACCTGATATGATTCATTTATTGATGGAAGCGAGAAAAAGAGGACCTCACAAAAAAGAGAACTCTGGCGTGGATACAGGATTTGCCACAGTTGAGAAAGCTAACTTTGGTGAGTATGTGATATTCGTATCATATTTACCAAAATAAAAACTTAATATTGTTTTTCGAAAAGTTTAGGACATTCTCAAAGGAAAGTGATATAAAATGAATGTAAATTAAATTGTTTCCTCAAGGAATTCTTATACTCAAAATAGTAATGAATAATTTTTTATAATCCAATTAGGAGAAACGTAGCTACGTCACCCGAGTCAAATACCATGTAACAATTCAATTTGTCACAGTTGGTTACTTGTAGATAAAATTAAAAGAGGATCAAATAAGTAGGACAGCCTGTATGACACCAAGTATACATCGTATTTAGAATAATTCTATTATGCAGACACTATTAAAATGTTTCGATGTCTGTAAAATTTTATATTCAGCAAAATCTAAAATAGATAGAAGGAGTATTCACTTTTCACATAACAGAAGTCTCTATCTTTACGAATTATTCGAAAAATAATGAAAGAATTCATTCAACCATACCCCAACCTTTGAATGATTCAATTCGAACTATTAAGGTTCACTGGTATATCCTTTTCTATTTAAACCCGTGGCGTTTTTGCAAATTGTTCCTGCTGGAGAAATACGAGAATCAGTAAGAGGACTTTTGTTTCCGAGATTCGAAGAAGGAATTATCAAAAAACTGTTGAGTGCATACAAGAAATTTTAAGTGGTTGAATTTGATACATATTTTATGGATTTGAAAAAAAATTCAAACAATGAGTTTTGTTGAATGCAAAGTATTTCAACATATTAATTTTGAAAGTTAAATATTAAATCTCACTTTGACGCCACACAAAATCCAAGGTAAGTTTTCGTTTTTTGATTCAAGTCAATCTGTTATGAATCCTCGTTCCATTTCCAGGTATCTTTTCTCTTCTTTTTTCGTTTTCCTACACAACATTCTTCGAGAAACATATTGGGATAGAGAATTAATCCGTCAAAAATGAAAAGTATTAACTTTGTTTTTCCCATTGCCACGTCTGACTTTTTACTATAACGTCAAGTTAGTAAGTACACTTTTACCTATCTGTTTTACAATTTTGTTGCAATATTTTAAAATTTCTTGTAGATGTCTTGATATAGTGAATAAACATTCTCGAAAGCTCGACCATATGACAACAGCCCAATAATGTATATAAAATTATTGCTATAATTGGGGACATTCTGCGAATCATTCATGATAATTTTTTTATTGCATATATGCAAAATGTTTATTTGAAGATATTATAAGTCTCAACAATATTCTTTCCTTTCTTGATACTCCATCTATTTCTAATTATGATTGATTTATTAGTTAATTGATTATATATTGTCTAAATTTTCAAGTATGAGCTCAAACTAATTGACGCCCTTTCATTAACTAGAAATAATTTTAACCTCTAATTTTTTGTTGTTAACTCACGACTCATTTGCTCTCAAAAAATAGGCATAGAGAATACCCAAAAAAAAAGGTATAACCAGCATTGTATTTTCTGCATTGGGAATAACGAAAACAACAAATCGAGCACATCGACCGTTATCTCATCGCCTGTGATAATATCTACCACAGTAGTAGTTGAAACTTCATGCATAAAAACCTGCAGACCACGGTCAAAAACCCGGAAAATAGCTTAAACACAGCTATCTCCGGCCGTGAATGTTCACATTCTTCAATCAACAATAAAAATTGATGTTCGGAAATGTTGACTTCAATTTCATTTTATTTTTCAGTCATCATCTTCATTATGACACCAAAAAAAATATTTTTGTTCCTTTAATTATTTTTTTGAATTTTCTACATGCTTATTCGCTCGTATATGAAAGGAGAGTTTACTGCGTTATTTTTATTTCATTTTCTTTGTATGGATTTTCGTAGCTTTGTAGGTTCATCAAATATATTTTCTACAGAAAGTCATAAGTTTGTTTGGGTACCCCAATCATTGAACCAGGTCTATTTTTTGTAAATAGAGTTATTCTGATTTCAGATTTATTAAAAGTCATCAGTTACATCAAGCCATAGGACTTATTACCGACGTAGAACACAATCTTAAATTAGTTTCGAATTATTTTCAATTTTTTCTTTTCGTTGCTATCAAAGCGTGTTTTTTGAATTTTTTATCAATTCTATTGAAATTGCCGAAGGTTAAAGTGAAGAAAAATCACTTTAGAAACTGTTTCAAGTAATCGCACTAGGGTTAGTGTCATAGTGTCAATCTTGATAGCGCTAATCCGCAATATAATGTGTCAGACAGACTCTATGGCGGTATTGCCAACTCTTGTTCAATATTGTAGGTTTTGACATTTCAAAATTTCACTTACACGATATCGTATAAGTCGTAGGTTCTGTAAAAAGCACAAACATTTTTCTGTGTTCAGTTGAAAGGATAATGTCAAAATGGGTGAAATCAGGATTTCAGAATAGAAATACTTGAAATGAAAAAAATCGAAGTTAATATAAATTTTCTTCGGATAATTTTCGAACTATCGAAGAGTTTCTTTGTGAATTGTAAAATAAATCTCAAAATATAAAGTTGATTTCGTTTTTTCCAGGAGCAGGGCATGCCTCCGAACTAACTAACCTAGATATCACAGCTCAGGCTGTACTATTTTTCTTTGCCGGGTTTGATACGGTTTCTTCGCTCATGTGCTTCATGTCTCATGAGTTGGCTGTCCATCCAGACATTCAAACGAAACTAAGAGATGAAATAGAAGAGACACTGGCGGAATGTGGAGGGGAAGTAACATATGAAGCAATATTGAAAATGAAATATATGGATATGGTTATATCAGGTGAGAAAGCGATAGTAATTTATATTTTCTGTATTTTAAGTTGATTTCGTTTTTTCCAGGAGCAGGGCATGCCTCCGAACTAACTAACCTAGATATCACAGCTCAGGCTGTACTATTTTTCTTTGCCGGGTTTGATACGGTTTCTTCGCTCATGTGCTTCATGTCTCATGAGTTGGCTGTCCATCCAGATATTCAAACGAAACTAAGAGATGAAATAGAAGAGACACTGGCGGAATGTGGAGGGGAAGTAACATATGAAGCAATATTGAAAATGAAATATATGGATATGGTTATATCAGGTGAGAAAGCGATAGTAATTTATATTTTCTGTATTTCTAACCTCAAAGTGAACTTGGCGACAGTATTGACTGATATTATATTAATATAAATGCCAAATTATTTTGGGATAGGTCAAAGAAAAAAATGCAAGAAGAAATAAGAAGAAATGATGGGAACAATACAAAACAAAAAAAGGAAGAAATGAAGTGACAATCAGGAAAATTTTAAATTGGACTGAATCATCTCAAATAGAATTTACCTAAAACAAATACTTCTTGGTGTTCGCATATTGATAAACATCAATAAATTGAATCAAAAAGATCAAGAAGATTTTCTGAGGTGTTGATTCTATGTTTGGTACTTTTAGTTATCATTGGAACTTTCAAGCGCAGCATCAACAACAGGATAGAAGAATACAAGTGCCGTTATCGCCTTACGCAATCGGAGAAATTCACAATGACAGAACATCTTCCAATAGTAATGGACTACATAATAAAATACGAAGAATAGGCTGTTTTTTAATCAACGCATTATCACTCACGTTTTCATTGAAAATCCATTGAGATCTATGAACATTTCAATGATCTCAACAGCAGAGAAGAAGGTATACGGGTCTACATAACGTATCCAATACTTAAGAAATCATGAAATAGACCAGAAAAAAATCCCTTCAACATAGAAAACCCATCAAAAGTGCGAACCGAACAGGATGAGCATGTAACACCGTCATCCCCACCAACTGCTAAAATCATAAAGACGATGGAACACGGAGTCCGAAAATACCTACCACAGAGAAAAAAAAATCTATCTAAAATCTTTTCAAAATCTGTTTTTCCGTTAACCAGCTATCGCACCCCTACGAACGACAACCCTCAGAAGTCGAAACTTGTGCGAGCTAAGAAATAACGAGGTCTTACTTTTTGACGTGTGATTCCTAACACGGGTTGGACGATAGTAATTGAAGATCGATCGTTCAGACTAGGGCTTGAACCACCGACCAACACGGCAGTCAATTCGAGTAAGTGAACAAAGCACCCACGCCGAACCGCTTGGCTACCGACCGACATTAACGTCGGATCCTTCGATGATCGGTGTCCCAACTCTGAACCGAAGATTTTTTTGAGTGATAGACAACCTGGTTCACTGAGAAAAATGACTCCTCAGCGATATACACTAATAAAAATGCATACTCTTACGTTCTAGTATAGTACGTGGGCTCACTGTGAAATAAAAAATTATAGTTGAAGGGCACCTTACTCCATTCAATTTTTATATTGCTAATTGAACAACTTTCCCAGTAATTATAGAAAATATTCAACTATGTGGCCAATTTATTATTATTTATGATGAAATGGCTTTTAAGAAATAAATTTAATTACTTTATTTTGTAAATCCAATTCATTAGATAGAAAATCAAAATAAATTCAGGATAATAGAATAATGCTTATATTATAAAATAATTTTATATCCTCTGAAATAAATGAGTCCACTAAGGATGAATAGAAGTGACTTTTGTTATTTTATGTAATCTTAACTTAAACTTTCATCAACAATGTCAATACAATCTGAGGGTTCTAACTGAGTAAGGTTCCGAATGAAAAAATAATGAAACAAGATATTTTACCAAAACCTCTCAATTTAAAAATGTGGCAGAATTTTAACTTTCCTTTTTACAGTTTTACCTTTGGCATTCTAATGAATAGCTTAATTATGTACATTTTTGGAAAATTTTCACAAGGATGAACAAAATCGACATCCTTGAATAATATATTCGAAACTGCTCCCCTAGTAGAAATTTCTGTAAATCGATTGTTAAATAAACATTACAACTGATATATAAAATTAATGAATTCATCGTAGTATAAGCTTAAAAATAGCTTAACAGATTATTTACATCCAAAGTCCTGCACTTCGTGCTGAAAGAGTAACACACATAACATGTATGAACTTGGAGAGCTTTTTTCAAAATGTATCCACAAACGTAAATGAATGAATTCTGAGCACATATATCTTCATTTTTATAATCATAATCCGGAAGGGCAAGGGCTGAAGAAAAGTGATTCTCATCTGATATAAATATATCATTTACGTTTGTGGATTGTATACTGATTAACAAATCATCTGAATCATTCCTACAATTCATATGATAGGAATGACAATTATTTTGGCAAAACAACTTCCGGAATGCCCTTTGAAATTGTATGGGGGTCGGATTAACATTATTTTCGCATTGTTGTCTTACAGCACCAAAAAAATGTTCAAGACAATCTGAATTGAGTCGTATCGTTTTTAAATATTTATACTCGATTCGTGACATTTTAGTCCTCTGAATTGAAAATTTCAAGGTTTTTCAAAAATGTTAAAAAACCTCTTCAAAAAAATCTAATTGGAATTTCGAACCTTCTAAAACGTTTTTCTATTTACAGGAATGTCGTAAAGAAAACGAATTCAACTAATGAAAAAGGTTATTGAATGTATCTATTACGTGTATTGTACTAAAAGAAGAAGCAGGAAGTAAGTTCATTGCCACGAATGCATTGGCAACTGTACGGCTTAGAACTTGTGTTGATAGACTCACTTTCATTTTTCCAAAATTGTTTGGATTGATTTGCGATTTGGTAAGATTTGGTGCGAATCTATAAAATTGCCTATGGCTCATAAAAAGAGCGCACAAAAAACCAAGATGTACTTTTACCTTCAAAATGAAATGGATATTCTAAAAAATTTATGTTTGCTCAGTGCTCACAGACTAATGGAGCCAACTAAGCCCGAGAATGACGGGGAGACAACCAAGTTGACGCATGCGTTTACGAAACAGGGACACAAAATGGCCGTCTTTGTCGCTTCTCTGTGATAGGTATTCTCGGGCGGAGTTCGCCAATCAGTCGTTGCTGAGACTTCAAAATATAACCTTCGTCCTCGCAGTCAACCCACATACCATCGATGATGTCTGGCGCAGTAGCAGACGGAACGTTTTGTACCACAAGTTCCATTTGACCATAACTCTGATTTTATTACCGTGAGAGCTTATGTTTTTATATTATAATCAAAATGCGGTCTCCACAACTAACAATGAATGGAAAGGGTGAGTTTTAATAGCATCCATTAATTAATTCAATTTTATTTTAGAATCTTTGAGGAAGTGGCCAAGTACTATATCAACAGACCGAGTTTGTACGAAACCTTATACGATAGAGGCAAAGAATGCAGGTGAAAAACCTCTACATATTGAAAAAGGCACATTATTGATGATACCTTCAGTAGGAATACATTATGATCCCAAATATTATCCAGATCCAGAACGTTTTGATCCGGAAAGATTTAGTGATGAAAATAAAAGAAAAATTGACCCTTTCACCTACATGCCTTTCGGACTGGGACCAAGACTCTGTATAGGGTCTAGATTTGCTCTTTTAGAAACAAAACTATTGTTTTTCCATCTCTTATCGCATTTTGAATTGGTTCCTGTAGAAAAAACTCAAATTCCACTAAAACTTTCTAAATTTACATTCAACTTAATGGCAGAAAATGGATTCTGGTTGGGCCTGAAACGATTGAAGAAATGAATCACATAGTTATTTTTCAAAATTTCAACTATCTCTTGAAAATTGTTGGAAGTAAAATTACTTATAGTTCAATATATTGAATCTTCTCATAACTGGCTTTGATCTTTAGATTTCCACTCTCCAGGTGTTACCAGATATAATTTATTCAGTAAATGGCAGATCTGGTGGTCCTGAAGGCCATAATTTCCTACTCTCAATCCAGAGCCGTAGAAAATTTTCGTTTAAATATCGTCAATCAACACAATTGCCGCTATTGATCTGATTCATATCTAGGAATTTCATACGATGTGCTTTGGCACAACAACAAAAACTCGATGTTTTTTTAATAAATTATCTCAATTTTTCTGTAATGGAATAGTTAGCTGTGATAGGCTGAACCTCTGAACTGTTCTCAAAAGACTGTTTTTGTTGATAATAAAGAAGACAGAGGATTTTCTGTTGATTCCATAGATCAGCGATTATCAAACTGTTTTTGTGACGGAACCTTTCTGGAAAGCGAAATACTTGACAAAATCCTACAATAAAACAATAGTGTTTGAAAGTACAATGTAACAGTTACTTCTTGATAAATTGATAGATATAGCCAGAGATATCAGTCGACTCAACTAGTTGTTGTTAGACGTAACTGGCCAGAACATGAATTCTTCGTGAAACAGCATCGTTTGATAGCGGTACAGTAGAAAGAAGTAGAAAGAGCATACATTTTGTTATGTCCACTTTTATTGAATTATGAGCAGGTTAATAAACGTTTGCGCTCAAGTGATGATTCATCAAAACCAGAGGCGAAAAATCCCTGCACGGGTGAATCTAAGGCAAAAACCCTCATATGGGAAGGTTGTCGCGGGTGTCAAGGTAGGAATCTTGCACCTTGACAATCCGAGTACCTCATTGATGATGAAACAGCAGAGCACATACTTTGTGCCTGCCCCACTGGGGCCCAATCGGGTTGTTAGAGTTCAGCAGAGCCGTACTCTCACTATTTGTCCTGAAAAACCACCCACCATATAAACTAATCGGCTTCGTTAAGAAGCTGGGTTTATTTGATCAATTATGAATAGGTGTGAGCCACAATAAACCCTTAAGGGGTTTATTGTGGCTCACACAACAATTTCTAAATGTCAGCTCAACTTGGCAGGTGTCATGGAACTATTAGGAAGCAGTTTACTATACAGCATACAGAGAGATGAGCCGTTGGTATCATTGTCTTTTGTCAGACAGTTCAGTGGTTCTGCTTAGCACCACTGATGAGACCCGGTGAATCGAATTAGTGCTGTCTGGTGTTGAATCAGAAGTTCATCTAGCTGCGTTCAATTTCGTTCGACGGTGGTAATACTGTTACATACAGTCATGAATAAAATTTAGTTGTTCGAATGAAGCATACTCGTACTGTTCAAAGAACGAGTATTACAATCTGCTGAAATGTCCAAACAATNACTACCGTAATTTATGGCTGATTGAATTCGTGGTTAGATACACCGCGCTCTTGTATGGACATTTGAACATCGCGTAGTAGTGTGAATATTGCATTGTTGTCTTAGAAGCGTTGTTGGTTAATCCATGTAAGTTAGGATTACTGAATAAATCATATTGGGGATCTTTATCTTTTATTTCCAATATTAATTGGTAAGTTATTGATATTGTGAGTTACTTAGGGTATCTGGAGGATTAAATTTACCTGGCGCCCATTAAGATCTATTTGAAATTTGCTAAGTTGTTTAACCCACTCCCGTCTCCACTGTTTAGCTTAGCCGCGGATACCCATCTGTCTTATTTGTTACCGACAGATGATTCAGTCTCCTCTTGTGGTTTGTGAGGTGACAAAGCCACGCAACGATAATAATGTCGCTGCACCTTCCAAAACCTTCGCGGAGGCCACCGTGAGACACCTCAAGGTTGCCAAAGAGAGTGTGAGTGTGTGTTCGGCGAGTCTTGGCCTACACCTGCCAATATAAAGGATATGTCTCCTAGTGACCTGTTTACCTTCCTAGAAAGGACAGGAGGAGGACAACTCCTCGGGAGGATGTTCAATGGGTCACATGTAGCCTAAGTGCTGTGAGTTTACACTAACCGTCCCTACTCTACAGATACAGAGAGATGTTTTCATTTTCTAGTACGTATTTTCTAGAACGTTTTTCTGAATATTAATTTATTTTCTAGTACGTATGTAGCTACACCTAACGTGTAGGTAGTTAGGAGGGATGAATATTTCGAAATTTCATTTTGAAATATTAATTTCCATTCATTCATTCACTCGAATACTCATCAATCTAAAGACAACACGAACGAAAAACAAAAATGCAACTATAATTTTCAGAATGATTCATTCACTACGTCAAAATGCAATTGCTACTTTTTTATTCACCCGTTCGGCATTCCCCCTTTGCGTTTATTTTCTGGGGTGATTATTTCAATTTGTCGATAACGCTCCAGATATCGATTCGAATTGTTGGGAGTAGAGGGTAAAAAATATATTGTACATGAAATCCTCAAGACAAATAATGTATTTATTATACAGAAATCAAAATAGTTCAGGTGTAAATAGCTTTTCAGTTACCACATTTTATGTAATCATTTCTTCAAAAATTACCATTCTGAGCCATCGCGGATATTTAGACCTTCAAGATAAGTTGAATTTTCTGGTAAATATCGAAAGGATTAGGCTCTACTATCGATGAAATCTCCATCGAGTAGCACCACCGTCCCGACTTTTCACGGTTAACATCGTCATATTTCAGTCAACTCACATACAATATCCTGAATAAATTATACACATAAACCTCATTCTTGAATATCTCCATTTATTAGGATATATCTCATTCTAACGTGTGTTAGAAATCACACGTTGAAAGGCAAGACCTCGTTAATCCTTAGCTCGCACAAGTTTCGACTTCTGAGGGTTGTCGTTTGTAGGGATGCGACAGCTGGTTAACGGAAAAAATAGATTTTAAACAGATTTTTATTGGTGAAAACCATATGACAATCCGATCGATAGTTATTGAGTTTATTGCTTTTGGACAGACAAACAGACAGACATATAAACATGGCAGAGGACTAATGGTGATTACATTCAACTTTTTGTACGATGAGTCAGCATTGACATTTTCTGGAGGTGTACTCAAACTTCAAAAGAAATCCTTAGAATGCTCTGGGTGCTTTATGGAGGCTGTAGAAGTTGTTGAGACTGATTAGTTATCTTCTGATATATCATGAAAATATTATTATGTATTTGGATTATCTCGCAAATTGATCATAAAGTAATATGAATTTCTCAGAGTAAGATCCCTGAGAGTAATCCATTCCTCATAAGGATTTGATGACTATTTCAAAGAGTGGGTCGGCAAGTTAATCTACAAAAAATTCAATTTTCTTCAATATTTTCAAATATTCAATTCAACAAAATAACAGAATATATAAATAAAAAACCCAGACGTTGAGATAGGGAGTCGTTATTTAGATCTGATCAGATCAACAGATGAGGAGTAATTTATACATCTACTCGCGTTCCCTGGGGATTCAGTACGTATTTTTTCTGCACGATCTTGATCGAGAAATCGTCGTACCTCAACCACCGTATAGAAGTAAACACTTATATACGGTGCCTCCGTTTGTAGCCGCGTGGATGGTATCGGTTACATAATATCCCATGTTAGCCTCTTCGCCGTCGTGGTACACGATGGCAAATAGTTATCGAATTAAAATGTAAGTCGAATTCAAATTTCAAAGCCTCAATGATCATCGGGCAACCTTCGTTGAAGTAATCGAAAAAGTTCAAATGAAATATGAGGACAACGGGAGTATTACTTGCTCCCATGCTTCAAACTGACCATCCCCTCTAATCTGTTTTTGGAGACGAATACTTCAACCTCTCAATTTCGAGAGGCAGCGTGAGGAAATGCTGAATATTTTCAGCAATGTGATCTCCGACATGATGTATACTTGACTCTAGTTGCCCCTTATCGGTGTACTGGCGAAGAGGGTCTTTCTATTTAAATATCTATTTTTTTTTTAAACTTCAACCATCCACTCATCACTTGAATCATTGTCCGTAGCAGAATCAACCTTCAGTGTAACATTCAAACAAATCCATTACCTTCAACATTTCATCATTGAGACCGCTCAAAAGAAACTATACTGTTTAAATTGAAATGGTATATTATTAGGAGAGATTAATTTTTGGGAAAGATAGTTGTTGGCCTTCTACTCATCCATCTTGATACAAAATATGTAGGAATCTTTCCAATATCGATGCTGTCTTTCCACGCAGCATTTATGAACTGGTCAAACTTTCTCAAGAGCTGGAAAGGACACAAGTAATCAAATTGAATATTGAATTACAGACAGAAATTTTATTAATTTCTGTTAGTAAATTTGATAATTGAATCTCTGGGATTGATGTGTAAAATAGGTGGAAATGAAGCTATATTACAAATACATTCGAAAGCTGTCCTATATCAAAAGTGGAAATATCTGAGAAATCAATATTCTGAATAATAACAAATCGTGGACAAATATCAGATAGTTTAGTTTCCGTCACACTTTATTATTTCTGCACTTGGATTGCAGAAATAATAAAGGGTGATAATGAAGTAAAGAACTTCTGAAAGAAAGACCCATATTGATGCTGGTGTCTTTATGGAAAAACATAGGTCAGAAAAGACTGCAATGGCGATAACATAAAGTTTTTCAAGCTTTGAGACTTTTAGGTCTTTAGTTGTACGTCTACTTTAAAAATGGCACTTTAATTATATAGAATATGTCATCATGTTGTTTCTACCATATTAACTTGAAGTCATCAACGCCTAAGCTGCAAATTATACTTGTTTATTATCCCAGAATTTTTTTGGAATATCATTGCTATCAGTGAAATTTTGCATTGAGAGTTGACGTTTAAGGAATTGAAGACAGATGCGATGTCCCTTTTCCGGGATATCTATTTGGTCAGAATCTCTCGATCTACGACACTCTTGATGAAGCGATTCAATGAAGTATAAGTATTCCATTCACAAAGTGGCTGAGCACACACCAAGTAACACTGTCCACCAACCAACGTCAATTTGGCATTTTGAAGAACAGATTTTGAAATCCAGAACTG